GTTCCCTACCACAGGACCTTCTGCACAATTACAGCACATAGTTTTCTCCAGCCAGGCCAGCCCAAGAGGCTTTCTCTCCAATTTGCTAAGAGAAAGTCTTATGTATTGCACCATAATCAAAGTAATGGCCTCCTGTTCACTTTTATACATTATACTGAGTAGAAGTAGGTCCTATGTCTTACTCTTATTTAAAGAGAAGGAAATTATACAGGGTGAGATTCACTTGAGGGTAACTTTTGGGTATGTCTGCCACAGTCCACTCCCTAGCTCAAAGGGCTCCATATCTCTGCTGTATGCAAAGTACATCCCTCCATTCCAAGGTCTCTGAAAGTCTCATCTTATTACTTCACCAGCTCGAGTCCAAAATCTCATCATTTAAATCAGGTTCAAGTAAGAATGAATCCTTTGAATAAATCTACTAAGTTCCACTCCTGGAACACAACTCCTCCGCCTATGAACCTGTGAAACTGAAGACACAATTTATCTCCCCCCAGAAAAAACAAAATACAATGGTGGATCAGGCACACAATTATATCCACAGAGATTTTGATCCAAAAAAAGGGCAAAAAGAGAAATTAAGGTATATTATGTGCATGTACTACCTTCACACAAGGAATGTAAAACACTATGTACTGTAATCCTGTACTAATAAACTGAAATAAAAAAGGAGAAATGAAGGATTAAAAGGCATTCTTAGTTCACTGCATTCCTGACATTCATTTGAGCAAATATCCAATCTCTTGAGTGGGTTTCAAAGCATGCGAATAATTCTCTGTGACCCAGTCCTGTTCCTCGGCTCTTGGTCTTGTCCTCTGGGTCACACTCCTTTTTCCATAAAACATTGAACATGTTTGCAGTTGAGTTGTTCTGTAAATCTCTTTCCTACCAATATGTTTTGGAAGCCTGGCAGCTTTTCCTTTTGCACTTTATGTCTTTTTCTCCAAACTGGCTTTCTGAAGAAATCATTCTCTTACAAACTCTGGAGACGTTTCGTGCATTTCACAGGCATTACCTTTCTCCATTAAACTAAATCCACTTCCACTATTATTTTTTTGATGGTACCAAGGATCGAACTCAGAACCTCGCGCTTGCCAGGCAAGCATTTATTCCACTGAGCTCTTTCCCCAGCCCTCCACTACTTTTTGAAAGATAATGCTTTTCTGCCTTTGCCTCTTACTGAGATGCCTGAGGATAACATTCTCACACTTTCAGCAGCCCTCATTTATAATCTTTCTGAGATTTTAACAAAAGGATGTGCCCTTGTACCTTGCCCTTTTCTCTAGAACATACTTTCTTACAGTGAATGTCTTTCTTGTGCTGTCTGTGTAGCCCAGGCTAGGCTCAAGTTCCAAGTCCATCCTCTTGCCTCAGCCTCCTGAGTGCTGAATGACAGGCACAAGCCAACACATCAAGCAATAGTGGATAATTAAATTTTATCATCTCTTGCCACCTCAAGAAAGGCTCAAAATTATCAGCAAGTCCTGGTTTACTTTGTGTAGTAGTTTTTTCTCTCCTCTCACACTTCAACCTGGCAGTGCTATTACTATTTACCTTGGAAACCACCTTAACTACATACACAAGGTCCTAGATGATTGATTCTGTTTTCTACATAACTATAGGAGACACTTCTGTTATAATTTCTACCACTATGTTGTGGTTTTAAGTCTTACCTTCTTAAAATTTCCAATAAGATGTTCCTCATTCACTGCTGAGTTCTCAGTGGCAACATTCCTAAAGACCAGCTATTTACTAACAGTCTGTCTGAGGTTGTATAGGCTTTCTTATCAGACTGCTTAAAAATTCTCCAACATCTGCCCCACTGCTACATTATAGAACTCCGCCATGTCCTTAGGTATTTATTAGAGTGCTACTCCACTTGCTGATACTAAAATCGTAATGTTCTCTATTACTGAGGGTAAAATAAACTCCAAAAACTCAAAAATTCTGTCCTTTATTTGAGTCCCTTAGGTCACAGTCTAGGGTGCTAACTAGAGGCATCTTCATCTGGAGACTCAATTTAGCACAGATCTTCCAGGTCATTTATGTTGTTGGAAGATGTTATTTCCTTATGGCTGCATGGCTGAGGTATAGAGCACTTACTGATCACTGGCTAGAGGTTCCCTGATATTTTACATGACACAGCAATTCCCTGCCTCGGGAACATGACCACAGCCAGCTCACATTATGGATCTTTGCTGCTTTAAGGCCAGCAGAATAAGAATGTCTCTCTCTCTCTCTCTCTCTCTCTCTCTCTCTCTCTCTCTCTCTCTCCTGTCCTCTCCTCTCTTCTCCTCTCCCCTCCTCTCTTGTCCTCTCCTCTCCCACCCCTCCTCTCCTCCCCTGTCCCTCCCTTCTCCTCCCCTCCCCTCTGTCTCTCTATCCCTCTCTCTCCCTCTCTGTATCCCCCTCTCCCATCTCCTCTCTCCTCTCTCTCCTCTCCACCTCCCCCTCATGAGATCTCTCTCTCTCTCCCCCTTTGCGTACTGTTGGAGGAACAGCACAGAGGTTCCTTAAAAAATCAACACTAGACTTGCCATATGCATCCGTGCTCCGACTGCTAAGTGCACATCCAAACAAAATGGAATCAACATGTCAAGGAGACACACACAGCCCCATATTTAGTGCAGTATAACTGACAATTGTTGAGAAATCAAAACCATCTAAATGGCCATCAACAAGTGTGTGTATAAAGAAAATATGATAAATGTACAAAGTGGGACTCTGCTCAGCCAGAAGAAAGATGAAACGCTGTCCTTGCCAGCAACACAGATGGCACTGGAGATCACTAAGTGACAACTTGAGGCACAGAAAAACACTTAGTGCATGAGCTCACACAGGTATGGAATCTATAAAAACTGGTGTCTTCGAAGTTGAGGGCTTACTGGTAGTTTCTAAAGGCCAGGGAGAGGAGAGTGGCTAAAAATGTGACAGAAGGCTGATCAGTGGGTCAAAGTTACAGTTAGAGGGGAGCAAAACATTCTGGTGTGCTGTTGCACAATAGGGTGCCCAAAATAACAACCAAGTCTATACATTTCAAAGGCTAACAGAAAGGCTTTTGTTAATTTTCACTGTGAAGAAACAAAAATTTTTGAGGAGATAAATGTTTAACTAAATTTAAACATTATGCAATGTACACATGCATCAAAACATTATATGGAAAAAAAAACATTATATGGTATCTGCAACTTGCACCATTTTAGGTTTTCACGTGAAAGCTAAAACTTGAATATTTATCTACTTAAATTTAAAAATCAGCTTTAGATAAAGCCTTCGACAAAAAGCAAAACAATAAATACAGGATATCTCATTGAGCACAGAGAACTTCTTAAAGATGATTTCTAAAAAAGCTTTAACAATGACACTAAAAATACACTCAACTACATTAATCTCATTAATCTCTGTTCATTAAAAGACACAAAAGGACAGTTAAAAGCAAGCCACAAATTATGTGAAGATACATGGAACACAATCATGAAATAGTATATAGGATTTTTTTTAATTTCTACAATCATTAAAGCAAACACAAAGGTATGTAGTGTATAGGATATTAACAGAACAGGAACTATAAGTAGCTGATAAACATAAATAGGCTTTCAACTTGATACTCAAATTGAGAAATGTGAATTAAGAATAGTGAGACATTGTTTTTTATCCATCAAATTGCCAAAAATAAAGCCTCACATCATTTACAACAGAGGAAACAGAGCAACATTAATATTCGTATGCTGCAGGTGGGATAATAAATTGGTACAACTCTATGGAACAAAGTGTCATTTTCTTTAAAGTTAAATATTCACACTCTACACACTATCAATTCCACTGCTAGGAATATTTTGAGAAGATCTACACCATACAGTAACAAAAGACATAAAAAAAGAGTATTTAGAGAAGCTATATCCTGAACAGGGAAAAAAAAAAAAGAGATTAGCACAAATGTTAGTTAATAGCAGAATGAACAAGGAAATAGTATAGGGCAGGTCAGCTAACTCAGTGGATTAAAGCTCCTGCTTAGGCAGATGCAGGGGCCGGGAGTTCGAACCCCGGGCCTGCTGTGCTGGCCCCACCACCAGGGCCTGCTGAGATGGCCATTGAGACCAGGCATGAATTCAGAAAAATAATCGAATATCGTCTAGTGGTTTGTAATACTAGTGGGTTAACCATAGGACTGGCAATGTCAGAAGGTGTTGACTTGAGCCTTTTACAGCTCAGCATACTAATATGGATTTACTTTTTATACCTCATTTTTATACTTTACTGCTGGATGGTTAAGACCAAGATAAAGGAAGACCTATATAACAAGAAATGTAACTTTTGTATCTGACAAGGTCAGTCAGGTCCCCTCAGGATTTACCCTGAAACCCTGAACGATGTGGATTCTTTGCTGAATTCACACACCTACAATATTTAAGCGGCAATGGAATATCCATCTCTGAAAAAACTAAACAAAACGGGATATAAATGAGGGGCAATTTTGTATCTGTATATACAAAATAGTTAGGATAGATATACAGCTACTTTCTCTTAATTCAATGAGAAGAAAGATTTGTACTAGTAGTGTTTGAACAGGATATGTCTGCATCTGGTACTATGAATAACTACTATGAAGACAACAATGTGCAATGTGTTAATTATTGTAATTGTCCTACTAACCTGTTTTGAAACTGTCTCATTGCTATTTATTTCTCAATGAAATTAATTTTAAAAAATAAAATAATTTTTAAAAAAAGAGACTGGGTGTGATGGCATGTGTCTATAATCCCAGCACTTGGGAGGTTGTAAATAGGAGGATCACTACGAGTCCAATCACTTTGAGTGAGACCCTGTACACCCTGTCCTAAATACAAAAAATTAAAAACCAAGTAAATAGTACAATAAATGCTGGTACATATAAATACAAGTAAATAGTACACTTTAGTAACAAAATCTTTAAGTGTCATACTAAGTACAATGCATAAGTTTCATTAGTAGTTTTAACAAAGGTTATCTAGAAACAATTTCACCTTGATTTTCTTAGCCTTCATTTGAACTTTTGCTAACAACATAAACATGGCCATCTCTGATCTATGACCGGACATTCCCTCTAAGACCTGAATGGCCTTGTCATGGTTTTCACAAAATGAATAAATGTGTGCTTGCTGTATCGGGCTCAACCCAATGAGACCTACGAGGAAAAAAGTTTGTCAGTGTCTTTGCCAAATATCAACAGTTTAAAAAATAATTTAAGGAAGTAAAGCATTTCAATAATATCTATTTATAATATGAATTAATGAATCAATATTATACCAAAATCTGCGTACAATCAGAAAACATAAAGGCATTCTGATTACATATCAAAACAGTGAAATTTGAAGTCTAGGAAATCCTATAACAACCTCTTTCACAAAATTCACTGTACTCTGAATCATTTTACCAATTGGTTATATATAAGTGTAATTGAAGTTTCAAAATCTTTGTTATTCAAGAGAAGCCTTCATGATATTCATACATAATTGTTACAAGTAGTATAAAGATTTTAAAGAAGTATATTTAAATCAAAACTATATCTTTGCATTAATTACATTTACCTTTGTTCATTTCTGCTACTTGATAAATAGTGAACTTTGCGAGATCATAACATCTCATCATAAGAAGATATTGTCCTCTGGAAGAAATAATAGCTGTTACACTCTAAGCAGATAAAATTTTTTCTATGTCAAAGTTTCTCATTATAAGTTCTTTAAAATTTCATTATAATAAATACATGTATTCATATTTTATATACGCATAAAAAGCAGTTTGAAATTATAGGCACTTTATAGTGATGTCAAAATGAACATGGAGATGTGATGAATTAATTTAGGATATGTGAAGCTGCAAAAAAAATAGGCAAATCCATTCTTGCAACTATCCTTATTTAAAATGTTATACTTTGTTGCTAAGAAATTATTTAAAGGTGAAGGACTATAAAAAAGGAAAAAGTATTTACATAAGTTGCTGAAATGTGGTTTGAACTTAAAGCAACCTTTTATCAGAAACCACTCTTCCATTTTATTTTCCAAGGCCTATCAATCTTTAGAGAGTATGTTTTTGGTAGTGATTACTTGCAAAGAGTTCACTTATAGCATGCTCTACTATATTTCAAATACAATTCTATGTGTCTTTTTTCCCACTGAAATAGCTTAGGGCTAGGTTTAGTACCTTTTCAGGACACAATCAAAACAACTGTTCAAAATGTAGTACCCTACTCTCATCAGATATGTAATAACTATATAATTAATAATGTAGAAAGCCTTAAAGACTTAAAACAGTAAGTAGTTGTGTTTTGATGCAAGATAAAGCAAAAGAAAAGATCTGGACTTTTTTAAGAAAATAGAAAAATAATAGATAAGACATTAGAAACAATGCACAATTTAAAAAAATACAAGAAGATGATAAACATTCAATAGTGGTTTTTACTGCACATTGTCATCTTCATATAAAATTATATGATAGAAGATATAAGCATGTAAAACTGATCAAAGTAAAAATTTTAAGCATTAACTGCTACTTTCAAAAAAACTGACAGAAATCAGTAGTATAATCGCTTTAACAATCCTGCGTATATACATGCATGATTTTTTCCTTCTTTTCTTTCTTTTTCCTCTCATCTCAGTTGTTTATGTCTTTTGCATGGTTTCTTCCCCTTTTACTATATCTACGGTACCTTGCAGATTTTTATACATACTTTCAGGCTCTTACACTAGGGAGACAATATGATGTTTACACATGTGAGGACTGGTTATTCTATGTAATAGGTTATCTTAAAGTTTAACAAAGTGAAGACTGACAGCTGGCTTGCTGGTTGATGCAGGCCCATTGCTGGAGGTTAAATGCATAATGAAGAGGTTGTAAGAATCAAGAGAAAACTAAAGGTTCCAACAGCTTGCTCAGATGCTAAGTAATCTTGACCAGAATTTGATTTCTATGCTCATACCTTATTATATATAATTGAATTCTGTCTGGCTGAAGATGGATAGCACGAGATAACTCATTCACTGCACTTTTCCATTTATGCAACTGTTGAATGATAAACAGAAGCTTAGGTTCTAATGAAGCCAAATGTTTCCTTTTTGATGTTTACCCCACCGCAGAAATTTTGCATGACTTTCTTAAGAATCATCAAGACAATTATAAAGAAGTAAAATAAGTGTTTATGATGCAGTATTTCAGTTTTAAAGTTATTGAACTTTAATATGAAGGATGCTTATACAATTCCACACATGTCATCTTACACTGATATAATTATGTCACATATTCTAGATTGTGCCTGTTTTCCTTTTTTATTTAACTTTTCAGTTTTTCTCCCTGAACTATAACACCTGTTTCACCAAATCTCACTTATACTGATAAACTAGCACATAAAACTAAAATAAAAAGATCTACGGAGGCGGAACTCACACAATAGGAGAATGTATTTTTCTATAAACATACACAAGGCTTGATTTTAATTATTTCTAATTGGTTTATTTTCACAATTTCATATTATACACTATCATTCTTTTTTTTTAACCAAAAAATATCTCATGGAAATTCCATGTCAGCTGGCAGAGCTCTATTTATTCTTTTTGTTGACTGTTATATTCTATAATGTAAATATACCACAATGTATTTAAACAGCATTGTAGAAACATTTTTGCCTCTCTGAACAGAAAAGAGTTTAGGACAAGCAAAAGCTTTATAAATATCCACATCTCCCCCAGTAGGAGTCAAGAACAAACCTTCCCTGGGATAACACCGAGCCCACCCTCCATCTTCTACCTCCATCATCTGGAAGCTGAAAACTCTTGGTGGGACTCCAATCCTACTGAGTCCTGTCATGTAGACACTGGGGAGCAGAAAATTCAGGCAGTCTTCAATGGACAAGTAGTGTGAGTGCAAAAATGAGTCTTTATGTTTTAATACAGTGGTTCTGAGGTTGTTTATTAACCAAGCATAACCTATGTTATACTGACTACAACCAATATATCTGGAGAATTTTTAAGAAACAAAGGCAAGAAGGAAATGAGCAGTCATCTCCTATGGGATCTTCTTTGCTTTTGTAGTCTTTGGCTTTCAATGTAAGGGCAAAAGGAAGCCGTTGAAAGCTTGTGAGCAAAGAAGTAAAATAACATGACATGATTTGCTTGAACCCCTTTAGGCTGCTATGTTGTAGCTCCATCAAAATAATAAAGAGCAGAGGCAAGAAGACCACAGGGTATTGAATAATACTGAGGAGAAATTACAGTGTCTTGGAGAGGACAGTTAGAAATTACAATGTCTTGGTGGAAAGAGGTATCTGTTTGAAGGATAGAGAAGGAAGTTTATAGTAGTTACTTCTGTAAGAACAATTTTTTAAATGTATTTAGTACAGAGTATACAGGGTCTCACTACACAGATCAGACTTGTAGTGATCCTCCTGTTTTTAGCCTCCCAAGTGCGGGGATTACAGGTGCATGTCACCACACCTAGTCTCAGTCACCCTCTCAGCAAGCCCTGGGGGCGGAGCCAGCATGGCACACTGGGAATCGAACCTAGTCCCTGCATCTGCCTAAGCACGAGCTTTAGTCCGCTGAGATATCTAGCCGGCCCCTGTAAGGTCAGATTTGGTTGGAGTCAGAAATGACTTTTACTATTTTCTGAATTTATTATTTACTGAGTTTATTACATTTGGATACAGTACATCTTCTAAACTTTTAAACAATGTGTAAAAAGTAAATCAAATTTAAAGGAAATACTAGTTCAGATACCATTCTAGACATATATCCCATGCTATGAACCCATACATTCACTAATACATATATATATATATATATATATATATATATATATATATATATATATCAATAAATTCCAAAATATTAGAAGTAATGATCTACATGGAATAAAAATATGGGCAGTTTTTAAATTAACTCATTTTCATACACATATTTATTATTCCTTATCTGTATAAATACAAAATCTACAGTAAATATAACTTCTGTAATAAGGAAAAAGTAGGTACTACATTACCTACATTACATTTTAAAAATGAAAGTAACAAAATATTTTCTCATAAATAGAGGCTTTGTAAGTAATTAGAGTTAAATATTCTGCTAAAAACTTATTGCCTACAAATCCATTAATCTCTATATTTAGCTAAAAAAAATACATTAGTGTACTCAAAGTTGAGAAACATCCAGAAAATTAAAACATTTTTAAAATTCAATAGTCTCAAACCTTAAATACCTTATAATAGGCTTCTGCTTTACACATATAGCTCTGAATATACAAAGGATCAACTCTAATAGCCTCAGAAAAGTGCCAAATGGCCTCAGTGTAATTATCCATGTGTAGCATATGTATGAGGCCAATATTTATATAAGCCAAAGTAAAAGTTCTAAAAAGAGAAAGAAAAATCTTGTTGGACATTTTTATTATTTCAAATGTTCTGCGATTATGAATGACTCTAATAAAATATATGCATCAACATATGGCATATTATTTTAAATATCTTCTTAATGACAACATAAATTTCTTATCTGCCCTATTAGAAACTATAAAAACCCAGATAGGCATGTTAGTGCACACCTTTAGTCTCAGTAGTCTGGGTGGCTGAGGCAGAAAGATCTTAGGTTCAAACCTGGCCCAGGCAATTTAGCAATTCAGCAATTTAGCAAGATCCTGTCTCAATATAAAAAAAAAAAAAAAAAAAAAAAAATTTAAGGCTGAGAATTTAGCTAAGTGTGACGGTACTAGGCTTACTCAATTCCCAGTACCACACGCACAAAGAAAAAACATTATAAACACCTTTAAAAAATTTCTTGGTAAGGAACTAATAATTGTAGGGTCTTTGCTAGAAACAGATTTTTTTAAATTTATTTATTTATTTGTGTGTGTGTGTGTGTGTGTGTGTGTGTGTGTGTGGCCAGCTCAGCCCACGAGGGGGTGGGGCTGGCTGGCAT